CCAGTGGTGTTGGAGAGCTTGCCAAAGCTGATGGAATTAGGAAACATCTGATTGGCAGTGGCTTAATTTTTTACCATGACAATGATCTCAAACAAACTGCCAGTGCAGTACAAGCATACCTGGGTAGAAAAACACACAGTGGAGTACTATCAGTCATGGATTGGCCTCCACAGAGTCCTAATTTCAACATTATTGAAGCAGTGTGGGATCATCTTGAAAGAGAACAGAACAAAAGGCAGCCAGCATCCAAAAAAAAAAAGAGCGTTGGATGCCGTTCAAGAAGCCTGCTGAACTATTCCTGAAGACTACTTAAAGAAATAACAAGAGAGTTCAGGTTCAAAGGTGTTAAAGAAAGTGGTCATAGCAAATATTGAGACTTTTGTAAAGCGCTGTACATTATTAGGAAAACCTGAGCAATATAGTCAGTACAATAGCACATTCACAAATGTTGTCTTAACACGGTTTATAATGTTCAGATTTTTAAACAATAGTGTGTATTAGTGAGGTCATAAATGGGGTGCTGTACTGGGGAACATTATTTTATTTTACTCCTGCTTGTGATGCAATAAATGTCTGCAAATGAAATCACTGCAGTTAGACTATGTGAAGACCTTTTATTATACGGTATTCTCTGTAGACCAGTCGGCTGTAATTTGCCTCTGAGCTGAGTCTTTTTGAATTATAACATTGTACATATGCAGACTTAATTTGCCATCCTTTTCTCCTTCATCACCTAGACACGGGTAAGTCCTTATGCAAATCCCCTCCAATAGTTTCCAATGAATTTTCTCCTTTAACGTTGCTAATATCAGAAAATTCTAGACCATCATATTTTCCATCTGTAATCTTTCTTACTTTCCTAATGTTTCCATGACGGTCTGTCCTCACCACAAGGAACCTGGACTCTGAGCCTTGTCAATTTTTCTCTCTTCATGGGAGGAAAGATCCGTCTAACACTCTGCTCTCTGCTTTGTCACACAAGCCTCTAACTGTTGCAGCCTTCTTTCCTTTTCAAACAATCAATCAAGCACCAACTTCGAACCAGACTTCCTGCTGCTTAGCACTCGAAATGCATTCACAATTATCCACACCTAGTTCAACCCATAAGCACCACTTTGATGATTTGTTGCTTGAATTTTTTTCTATTTTTGACCAAAACTACACAAATTAAACGCTAAAACACAATCAACGAATAAACCGCACACAATACCAGTGTCACATTTCAGTGGCCTTGCTTTTAATAGATGTACAACATGAAGCTGTGTTCTTCAGGCAGCCTGCAGCTCAGACTGAATCTGTGCTTCTTCCTCACATCAAAAGGCTTCATGTCACCTGAGCATATAACAGAATTAACAGCATATTAGGCTGCCCTCGTGAAGCCAACTGTTTCCAAGTTTAGCACCAGGGGGTTTACCCGAATTGAAAACAAAGAGAAAATACCATTGAAACATTTTTTTTTTTTGTATTTTAAGTTTAAGTTACAAGCATTACGGAGCTACAGACATTGACGCATAATAAGAAAATAATTTGTTATAACAGTTATTCTGCAAACACAAAGGTGTACAGTAAGGTTGGCTCGCTTTACGATTTGCAGGGTTTTATTATTTCATGCTACACCACAGTTGCTTCAATAGACACTAGCCAGAACATGTTTTTGTTAATATGTCCCGATGAGGACCAATCTGTTCTCAGAATGAGCATCTCTACCTGCAGACAGAAACATATCAGAAATGTATTTTATCTTATTTATTTTGCCCCAGTTTGTTGAAAATTGAGTGTTTATTGAATCTTCTGGTGTTTTTTTTTAATAAATTAACTATCATTTTGTATATATGAGTTTTAATTTGCATATATTTCCTTTTTTGTGCCTTTTTTCCAATTTATTGGTTTCAAATGATATTTTTTGCTAATTATTTAGGTTTTAAAGGTCCACACTGGTGATGTAGAAGACTCAAATACTCATGTATGAAATATGATACACTAGTTGTTAAGGGGTTAAAATCTGCATTTGTCATTGTTACTATGGCAATGGCTTTTAAATGGAATAACTTTTTGGGTGTACTGGATTTATTTAACACATCCCTGAAGCTAAGATTACTCCTCTACATACGTCTGTTTGCACAAATATCTTTTACATCGTCTGCCTTTTCCGTAACTCACTTATAAGGCCCAGACTTGGCAGTGTGGCTTCAGCCTTTCTCTGTTGTCAGATAGCATCGAGACACAACCTCTGACAAACCCTCCCCTTAAAGCTTCGCAGCCCTGATGGACTAGGGATGTGCTTTTCATTTTCAGAACCATTTTGCAAACATTTCTCACTTTATTCCACATCTTCTTCCATGAAACGTTTTAGCACTCATCAAACTTTCTGCAGAGCTGCAGATCGTGACGTACTGGATGTACTAAACTTTTCCATTTTCACTTCTGCTATATTGGGACAATTTCTCTTGCTATTCTGTTATTTTCAGACCTCCCCTGTTTCATTACTTGCTGACTCACTCTATGCGTCTCACCAGAGATCTAGTTAACAACCACATTAAATATTTTCACTGCAGATTGCACAGTAGATTCAATTCATCGTTACCCTTCTTTTCTTCTTTATCTTCTTAATTTACAGTCGCTGCTAAGCCATCTTTTTTTTTTTTTTACATAACTGCTTTCAAACTCTGGGGTGCTTCTGCCTTTTTCCAAACCAAAAACCACAAAAGTGGGAAGGACCCTGTGGCATAGATATATTTTCCCACAAGGCTTTCAAGGCTGTGTTGTTGGAAATGTAAACAGCGTGCAGTAGCAAACAAATCCTATTTTTCAATAAACTCTATCAAATAAATCACATAAGAGCATTTTCATATGTTTTTTTAATGTGGTCATGAAAAAAGCAAACCTCAGGACTCATTAAGTGTAATCATCTACACTCTGTCGGTTTCACATGGTTAATGGTGTATATTATTTCTCTATCACTGAGAGAGTGGCACACATTATTTAGTATTTCACATGATGTTTAGCACAAATCCTTCTGTGTTTTCTTTTCTTTTTTTGTCCTTTCATTTCTGCACTAACTCTCCAAATTAATCTATAACAGTTTTCATGTTGATGTAGGACTTGCGCAACACCCTTCACGCTTAAGTAGTATTAATCACCATTGTCATTTGAATCCCTAAATCCCAGTGCAGTGCTGCTCTTGGCAGCACATGTAGGAAGAAAAAAGAAGTATATGTACAGAGGAATCAGGCCAATGTAACACATGGATATGAACATTTTAAAGGCAAATGTCTTCTTGTGATGGCATCAGCCACACAGGGGTAAATCAGTCCATTTTTTCACTTTATTATTTGCTTTGCAGTTTTCTGCATTAATATAATTCATTAATCATTTGGTTAAACCTAACACTGATATTATGAGGCGCGCACATAGTAGCATTGTGTGGTTTTTCTAAAATGTTTTGTTATATTAATTATGTTTCTCTTTCTTTGAGTTACCTGGGTTTGGGCGGTGGCTGTTTCCTGTCTGGGAAAAAGGTGTGGCTGAGGACTCTGGGAACAACCATGGGCTTACCAGGAGCAGGGGTGTTTTAGGTTTAGTTAGGTTATTCTGTGCTTAGTTAATATTAGTGTGTGTTTTTGCTTTCCCCCCTATTGTGTGTAAATGGTTTGGCCAAATCATTATAAAAGCTACCCTCATGTGTCTTTGTAATTAGGTCAGTTTGTGAGTTAAGTTGTGTCTCACTTTGTTTTGTTTAAGTTTCTGGAAATTACTTTTTGTGGAGTTATATTTAGTTGACCTCTTTTATGGGCCTGCTAAGTATGTTTTTGAATGTTGTTAATTCTGGACTTTTTGATGGTTAAAATAAAGAAAACCCTTTTTGAAGATACTTTTTTGCCTGTGTCCTCTTTGCTTTGGCTGCTTGGTCCCTCACACTTATCCCCATGTGTGCGGGGTCATCATTCTGTCTTCCTTTATTATATATACACACATACATATATATATATATACATGTATGATTATAGAAAGAAGAATAAAAGAAGAAGAATGCTGGTCACATAAGCAAAACTAGTGTTATTCTTGTCCTACTGGACAGTTTAAAGTGACCCTTAGAAAATCAGGAAGACATTTCCAAAACTTAAAGCAGCCGAGTCATGCATCTGGTCTAAGATGCCTTTTGATTCAGGCCAATAAAAAGCATATGCTGAGAGCACCAAGGTGCCTTTAAGAATAGCTCTTTGTCAGGTCTCAGTGCCTCTCCTAAACAGCTTGTGCTTCAGACATTTCATATGCCAGCCAGCATTTCCTCCCATTCATAGCCAGATCAGCTTCAAAGGGCGAAGATGATGTCACAAGACTGAATCCATTACCATTTATGGCGTGCCTTATAAAAATGAATTGCTTTCTTTTTCTTTTTTAAATGTCATTTCATACGTACAATCAACACGTTTCTGATTTTAAGTTATACAAATGTGTTTTATGGTACAATTTTTTTAAAAGTTATTCACCCGTATGTGCCTGCACTCACATTTAGCCTGTGAATGAGCTTGTGTTTATTAAACACATGTTTACTTTTCTAGCTGTTCCAAAATTTGACTCTGGGTGTCTTGACGTCAGGATCCCTTCAGGTCTCCAGCAGAATAAAAACATATTTCACTCTGACTTCCCAGGCGGTTTCAAAATATGAAAACAGCTTAATATATCTTCTATATCAGACTTCAGTTTGGAGCTAGTGTTTTCTTCATAGCTTTCTTGATATTAAATCTGACAACAAACAATCTTCATCAATGAGGCTGGTTGGTTATAAAATGAGCTCCGTGATTTATTGCAGATCTGGAGGAGAGTTGGTCCTCCGAGCTGCAAACACCATCGACGTTACTACTGAATAGTGCATATAGCCACCTAGTGGTAGTGTTGGTGATGAGTAAGGCTGTTGTCTGTTTTTACTGAACTGGGGATCTTATAATAGGGGCTTATGCTGTAGTGCCGGTCATTCGGATTCTTACCACAGATCATGATGGAGCTTTCCATTTCTATAGCTTTTCGCCCCTCTCTGTAACATTTTAATTTGCAAGCCTTAATCTTAATTTTGAAAACAGATGAATGTATATTTTCAAGACCACAGCCTCTTAATTGAGAAAGAATGATTTTTGTTTTGGGATGTTACCTTGACCAGTGAGATCCTTATATTTTAGATCCTGTTGTTGGTCGCTACTATTCCCTTCTTCAGCTAACGTTTCTTTTTCAATGGACTTTTTGTGAACTGTTCTATATGATTTAGATAAGTGGAAACATTTGCTTCCCTCTCACACTCACATCCTGCTTTCAGAGGGGGAAATGTATGGGTGATTGAGATTCAAAGAACGAGTTCCTTTCTTTATTATTAAGGAAACATTTTTGAGCAGGGTTATGTCTTGCCACTGGTGAGGACGCACGGAAGACTTAAAGACCCTCCAGGTGACTCTTTCAGCTATTGCATGACTGCACAACCCTGACGCATCTGCGGAGGACGAGACTGCAGCAATGGAAAGTATTTCAAATGAAAGTGACATTTGGCAATTCAATGAATCTTGGAGGAACTCGAGTCTCATTAACGGAACCGGTGGTTTGAATCAGACAAACCCCTTGAAGCGGAATGAAGAAGTGGCGAGGGTGGAGGTGACTGTGCTCGCCTTGGTCCTCTTTCTGGCGCTCGCGGGTAACCTGTGCGTCCTGTTGGCTATCCACACAACCAAACACAGCCAGTCTCGTATGTATTATTTTATGAAACACCTGAGCATCGCCGATCTGGTTGTGGCGATATTTCAAGTTCTCCCTCAACTTATCTGGGACATTACATTTCGGTTCTATGGACCAGACATCTTGTGCCGGTTGGTGAAATACCTGCAGGTCGTTGGGATGTTCGCCTCCACTTATATGTTAGTTTTGATGTCTATAGACAGGTGTTTGGCAATTTGTCAGCCCCTCCGTTCTTTGCACAGGAGAAAAGACCGTTTATATGTCATATTTTCCTGGATCCTGAGTCTGCTCTTCAGTATCCCCCAGATGTTCATCTTTTCCCTGAGGGAGGTTGGCTCGGCCGGATCAGGGGTGTATGACTGCTGGGGCGACTTCGTGAAACCTTGGGGAGCCAAAGCTTACATCACATGGATCAGCCTTACCATATACATAATTCCAGTGGCCATACTGAGCATTTGTTATGGGTTGATAAGCTTTAAAATATGGCAAAACTTTAAACTGAAAACCAGACGGGAGCAGTGCATAAACCTGACGCCTAAAACCACCAAAAGCAACACACTGGCCCGTGTAAGCAGCGTAAAGCTCATCTCCAAGGCGAAGATCACGACAGTGAAGATGACTTTTGTGATCGTGGTGGCTTACATCGTCTGCTGGACCCCCTTTTTCTCAGTTCAGATGTGGTCTGCGTGGGATCCAGCAGCCCCCCGTGAGGGTAGGATCAATGTTTAAGTTTAATAATATGCCAAGTGCGCGCCAGTGCGCAAAGGATATCTTGCTCCACGCGTCCTTACGCACTTACATTAATTTAAAACATGGTATTCCCATCACTCCTTTACGCACCATCCACACAGTATTTACAAATGACAATAAAATATATTTATTTATTTATTTTTAATCTGGTCCTCGTTAATTTGTGCACCAGAGCTCGAGTTAGTTGAAACAGACTGACAAAGAAAACACAATTTAAGCACTGCGTACTCGGGTGCTTCGTGTCTTACGTTTTATAATGACTCAAAGAAAACCTGGTTCTGTTTTTACTAGAACGGCAAACTGTACAGGGTGGGGTAAAGACTGGGTAGAGGTCTTACGGTGAAACAAACGCAAAGAAAACAAAACGAGGAAAGATGTCTGTGAAGGTTCTCAAAAACAAGGAAAGAGTTTCACATAAACGTTTGGAAGCGCAAAGCCAATGTCAGATATTCACGTGATTTTAACAAAATATATCATTACCACTGATACACCTGGGAGTACGTAAATAAAAGGTTTAAACGTGTATTGCCATCCTGTGACTGGCACATTCTAGGCAGGAAACCAGTGAATTCATTTTACTGTTTTCAGTAATGTTTTTCTCATCTCATAATGCACGTTTTTGCGGTTAGAAACATCAGGGCAAAGCAGAGTTTTTCAAGTTTCTTTTGAGCCTCCCTGCACTGCAGAGACTGAGTGATTGCTAATCATTAACCAAATTAGTGTGCACCACCACGCGCTCAGCAGCTTTCATTTGCGCCGGTGGGGTACACTGACATTTAGCCACAATGGCCACTAAACAGCCATCTACTGTATTTGGTCTCAGTGTGTATGGATCTGCGGGACTGTGTCCACACCCACTCAACATCATAAGCTTTAACGAGTCACAATACATTTGCACATCTGAGCGACATTCTTTAAGCAGAAAAGATTAAAAGCACATATCTATCACCTTGGTGATTAAGGAAATTAAATTTCAGCCATTAACCCGAGAGAGTTGCAAAATAATGTGCTTGCATCTCATTGTGAATAAAAATAAACAGCCAAAGGGCATAGCAAAATCTGTTTGGTTGTTTTTTGTCACTAAATCATGTGTTCTTTAGTGACCATGAAAAATGTGTCCTTTTCCACACAGCACAATAAGATAAAAGAAACTGTCATGATGCCCCCCTTAGTAAATGGGACACATTCTCTGGTGTTACGGTTCTTTCTGTTCTTCTGCTTCTGTGGGTTTGCATTAAAGGGTTCGGCTGACCGGAACTTCCTTAAGCTTCATTGTTCACACCAGATGTTTATACTTACACTTAAGTTTTAAAATAAGAGGCTTATTGCTCGATAGTTTGCTGAAAAGGCTAATTGGTGTAAGGCCACCGTAGTCAGTGTCAGAGAAGCGAGAAAAGAGTGCTTGATCCTGTGAATGGAAAATGAAGTGATTCATTTATTTTCTTTTGCAGAAGGCTCCATCAGTGCAGGTTGATGATTGAAAGTGAACAGCACTCAGAAAGGGCAGAACTGGCAGTGACACACGCCAGTGTTCATGCACAAAAGGCAGACAGGAATGCCATCCATGTGTGCGTGTGCAGATACACTTTTCCTTTAAGTCATAATAAATTTTTTTTTACGTTAACCCAGACCAGACTGCTTAAGAAACAACAGGAAGAGTCAGTTCATTTAATATATGTTTTAAAAAGAATCAGCAAATGGTTGTCAGTTTTCAAATGGTTTAATCATTAATTTCTTTAATCTAATATTTGGTTGGGATACAAGGAGATGACAGATTGTGCTTTGTATTACACTGGACGATTAGTAAGGATCATACAATAAAACTGATCACTGCTCATGGGAATAAACAACTTTTGCATATTTTTCTTCTAATTTTAAGAGATATACAATTTAGAAAATGGGGAGATTCAGAGAGAAACAGTTACCCCGCTTTGTCCCCAAAAAATTCAGGTTTTGCCAGTAACTGCCTGGCGTTCCTTCGATAGTTAAATGCCAGGAAATATTTTTGACATACTGGTTAAACAACTAATTTAAATGTGTTCCTTTCAGATTTCCATTTTCACATATTCAGTTGATTAGATAAAATTGTTAATAAAAAGTTTTAACAGTCTTGACTACAAGTGGATAGAGTCAGGCAAGCTGTTTCCTGTTTTTTCTAGTCAATATGCTAAGCAAAATGTCTGCTTAGGTTCTTGGTCATCCAGGTAATCTAAGGATCTGGGAAAGAAAAGCAACTTGACTTCTCTAAGTTTCTTGTAGATGTTTCACGTCTCATTTGAGAAGCTTCTTCAGTTCTAAGACCAAATTATGGAGAGTCCCAGGTATTTAGGCCCTAGTGGGAGTGTCCCTTAAGAGGGTTGTTGAATCATTTGCCTCATCACATGAGCCAACAACATTGTCATGCCTTATGAAGCAGGTTTATCAAGAGAAACTCAAGAGAATCTTCTCCAAACACAACATCCCAGTGCACTTCCGATCCAGCCACATCCCAAGGACAAAACTCCCAAACAAGCTAAACAATGTAGTGGATTCTGTGCAGTGCAGCGTGGAGTGCTCAGACCTCTACATTAGAGAAACCAAACAGCCTCTCCATAAATGCATGTCACGACATAGAAGAGCCACCTCAACAGGACAAGACTCAGCTGTACATCTGTATCTAAAGGACAAAGCTCACTCTTTCAAGGATGCTATTTTTCACATTTTGGACAGAGATGGTTTGAAAGAGGAGTAAAAGAAGCCATTTATGTCCACTGTGAATGACTATCTTTGAACAGAGGGGATGACTTATTAAGGAACAACTCCGACTAGGGCTTAAAATTTGGGACTCTCCACCATTTGGTCTTGTAACTGAAGAAGCTTCTCAGATGAGAGGTGAAACGTGTTCAAGAAACTTGACGAAATCCAGTCGCTTTTCTTTCCAAGCTCCTTAGACTACGTTAAGCCAAGCAGCTCCAGTGCAGACAGCACAGTGATATCCATCTTCTCTCGCTTAGCTTGCAAAGAAACCAAAGTATTCCCTTGCTGTCATTTGAACAAAGCATTTGTATGCTGTATATGGTTGTGCAGCATACACACATTTAGTGTATGAATATGTCCTCAAAGCTAGTCGGTCTTTTTCCAAATTCCTCCCAAACTACTGAGATGTCAGCGTTATTATTCATGTTAAGGAGACAGGACCTTTCACAGATGAGAATTTGACCATTTTTAGCACCTGGTTAGGCTTATCAAAGCTATTTCTGGAAATGTCATAGGATACTAAAATGTCCCATTCCTCTCAGGTTTGCTAGAAGGACATCAGCAGCATCTGTGATTTCACATTTAACAGCCAGACAGATTTCATTATGTAGAGGACAAAAACAGAAGAAGGTTAAAGCCTGAGTCAGACACTCACAGAATCACCC